CTTCCTTCCTTCCTTCCTTCCTTCCTTCCTTCCTTCCTTCCTTCCTTTCCTTCCTTCTTAGCAAAAGCCCTCAGACTTATATGCCACTTCACAGATCTTTCCAGTGCTCTCTAAGCGGTTTACAGAGTCAGCCTCTTTCCCCCAACAATCTAGGTCCTCATTTGACTGAATCTAGAACCTAGAATCCTCTTTCTCCTCCCCCTCCTTTTCTCCTCCTCCTCTTCCTCCTCCTTCTGTTCCTCCTCCTCCTTTCTGTAAACCCACCTCCCTCCTAGCTCTGATGATGTTTCCTAGTTGGGTCATGAAACATCTGGAAAAAAACCAAAAACCTATCAGGCTCAAAGAGCACCAGGGACCTCACAGCTCAACCCTGAGCTACCAACATTATCTTCTCTTGCAATCAATGTCCGTCAAAAGTTCTCACCTTGGAAGTAATCACACTTGCCATCCATGAAGATGTAATTCATGAGCACCACACTGAACATGCTGGCGTAGACGTGGAGGTCGCTGAAGACCAGGATGAAGTCGGTGGGCTGCTCCGAAGGAAAGGAACGGGTCAATCTCCAAGTAGCCCCAAGGACCGAGGGCTGAAATCCCAACAGCCTCTTTTTCTTTTACAGTATTTTTTTAAATTAAAGTTGCCAAACTTTAATAAGACAAACTAAGAAATAAAAGAAAGAAAGAAAGAAAAGAAAGAGAAGGAAGGAAGGAAGGAAGGAAGGAAGGAGAGAGGAAAGAAAGAAAAGAGAAAGAAAAGAAAGAAAAAATAAAAGCGAGAGAGAGAAAGTAAGAAAGTAAAGAAAGAGAAAGAAGAAAAAAAGAAAGGAAAGAAAGAGAAATAAAAGAGAAAGTAAGTAAAGAGAGAAATAAAAGAGAGAGAAAGAAAGGAAAGAAAGAAAGAGAAAGAAGAAAGACAGAAAGAAAGAAAAGAGAAAGAAAGAAAGAAAAGAGAAAGAAAAGAGAGAAAGTAAGAAAGGAAAGAGAGAGAGAGAGGAAAGAAAGTAAGAAAGAAAAAGAAAGAGAAATAGAAGAGACAGAAAGAAAGAAAGAGAAAGAAAGAAAGAAAGAAAAGAGAAAGAAAGAAAAGAGAAAGAAAAGAGAGAAAGTAAAAAAGTAAAGAAAGAGGAAAAGAGAGAGAAAGAAAGGAAAGAAAGAAAAGAGAGAGAAAAAGAAAGAAAGAAAGAAAGAAAGGGTAATCTGACTTATGACCACTCATTCAATGTCCATTCAAAATTATAGTGATGCTGAACACACACAGACATATGACACACGCACCCCGCCTAAACTTATCACCATTGCAGTGCCTTCTGCACCTCTCCCTGTCATGTGATCACAATAATCTGGACAATCTTGGCAACCCATTTGGGTTTACAATGACGGGTTGCCAAGCCAATAGCCATCATGTGATCATCATTTGCCATCTTCTTGGCTGTCTTCCAACAAAAATCTGCTGTGGCTTCTGGCTCCCTTCCGCAGGCCATTCTTTAGCTCCATCCACTGACCAGCTGTGTTGGGGAAAACCAGGTTGTGATTGTAAAAGGAGGTCACCTTACGACCTGCTTTGTGACTGCCAGGACTTAGTTACGGTCATAAGTTGAGGACTACCGGTAAATGAAAGAGAGGGGAAAAAAAGGACAAAAGAACACACAAGAAAGAGACGAAACAAAGAAGATCACTCCATCCTCGCTCAAGGCATATAAATTATGCTTTAGCTTGGCAAGATGGATGTCAGGCTCTCCAAACCAAGAAAGACACCTTGTGATTCTTTTTCCAAGCAATTTCTTTGTTGTTCCTCGCCTGTAGACAAGAATCTTGCCAAGCGAAAGCATGCTAACATTCCTATGAAGCATTTACTCTAGGAACTACTGAGGAGGCGCTGTCTTCCCCTTCTTTCTCACACACAAGCTATCTGATCTGAGTTGTCTCTTGCTCCTCTGGGATGCAGTCCCTCCCTCTTGGAATCTGGAGAACAAGTGAGGGAGGGAGGGCAGGAAGGAAGGAGAGAGAAGGAAAGGGAAGGAGGAAAGGAAAGGAAGGAGAAAGAGAAGGAGAGAGTGAGGAGGGAAGGAAGGAGGAGGGAGAGAAAGAAAGGGAGGAAAGGAAAGGAAGGAGAAAGGGAAGAAGAATGAGGAATGAAGGAGGGAAAGAGCAAGGAAGGAAGGAAAGGAAAGGAAGGAAGGAGAAAGGGAAGAAGAATGAGGAATGAAGGAGGGAAAGAGCAAGGAAGGAAGGAATAGGAAGGAAGGGAAGGAAGGACGGAGAGTGTGAGGAAGGAAGGGAAAAGGAAGGAAGGAAGAAGAAAGGGAAGGAGAGAGGAAGGAAGAAAGGAAGAAAAATGAAGGGAGGGAGGGAGGGAGAAGAGAGGGAAGAAAGGAGGGAGAAAAGAAAAGGGGAAGGGAGGGAGGATCAAGGTTGTAAGAACTCGAAAGACACTGCCAAACTAAAAGCATGCTAACACCCCATCAAACATATACTGTGGGAACTGTTGAGGAGGAACTGTCTTCACCCTCTTTCTCACACACAAACTATCTGACCTTTGTTGTCTCTTGCTCCCCCGGAATGCAGCCCCTCCCTCCTGGGCATCCAGACCCAGATAGTCCCTATTCCAGGGAGACACGAGGAGAGACCCAGACTGAGAATCAGAAGGTTGGGCCGCCTTTCCAGGATCTGGAGAGAGGAAAGATCTCAGGGGAGCTGAGATATTGTTCCACCATTGCGTTGGAGCACTCTGCGGCTCCATTCGTAGCCGGATGGTTTGCAGTAGGTTAGTGGGAACCCTGACATGCAGCTTCTCCCTCGGTTACTTACGTAAAATACGGTGAAGAGCACCAGGATAGGTATTTGCAACATGCAGACTTGAACAGCGATGCAGTTCCCGATCTCAATGCTTGAAAAGGAGGACACAGAAGAGGACATGTGTGAGGCGCAGTTCAGAAACTGCGGACATGCTTCCCATAATCCCCTGCTACCTGAGACCCTGCTCGGGCAGGGACATCCTCCAGCTGGGTTCGTACACTTCCAGTTCCCAACCATTTCTATACGGGGCATTTTGATGGGGGCATGCATTGATATCTATGGGTAGCATCAGACCTATTTTCCCCATAAAAGGAAATGTCACACCCCCGTCCGAGTCTGAATCTGCGGGTGGGGGGTGGGAAGATGAGCTGGAACAAGAGCCAATAGAGATCGAGGGGGTGGCTCCATTGACTTTGGAGTAAACGGGAAGGGCAAAGTCAGTCCGGGCAGGACTTTTCAGGATTGGGACGGCTTGTAGACAGGGAGCAACAGGGTCAAGATAAGCATGAGAGACAGAGCTCAGGCGAAGAGCAAGGACCCCCCCTCCTGATCTGACTGTGGTGTGGAGGAAACGGGGGAAGGGCACAGTCCGGCTGAGCATTCAGAGGAAGACCCAGGGCCACCCCCTCTTCATCCTAGGGCACGCAGGGAGGAACAGAGAAGGGAGCAACGTGGATTATGGGGGAGAAAAGGGCCCTGATTCTCTTCATTAGCTGCATCTGGGAAAACAGGATATAAGTGGGGTGGTTTGCACACAGCTCCTTGCTGGAAGCAAAGCATGCTTTATTTTTGTCGAGGTTTATCTGGGTTTTGGCATCCTCCCAACTGTGGTTGCTGCGTTATCCTTTGAAAGTCTGCAATTTATCATCCTGGCCTGTTGTGTTATTTAATTCAGTGTGGTTTGTGTTTTTTTTTAAATTTCTAATTATCTTTACTTTGGGTTCAGACTGCATTTACTCCCTTCGTGGACTGTTTTTGGAAGAGTTTGATCTCCAGCTGAGGATAATTGGACATTGGGGGCCAAGTTGGAGGCATTAAATGGAATTTATTCTACTTTGGTGACTGTTATTTTTATGTCACGCTCCTTTGGGTCATCACCAGGGGTGGGATTCTACAGGTTCTCACCTATTCGCTAGAACCTGTTGTTAACTTTCTAAGCAGTTTGGAGAACCAGTTATTGGAAGAAATCTCCTTTTGTTTTTTTCCCACCCTTCTTATATTCTTGGCAGTATGCCTAGACTTACTGTCTCAGAAGGAGATTGTTTTTTCTTTTGGTGGTATTTTCTTAAAGGGGAAGGGTTGTTTTAAGCTTTTTACACTGCTGTTGGGGGGGAAATACTCCCCTGTTGGTGTTAGCACTTTGAAGAAATAATTGAATAATGAAGCAGAGCTGCCAGAAAGAAGCTTTTAATGACAAAAAACCAAGATGGGTGACATTCAGCAAGGCTTCTTGGCTAGCTAGAAAGATTGACATTCAAACGTGAGTTTACATACCCTTTTTGAGTTTTTGGTCTAAAACTGGTGACCATTCAAAGTTACAATGGCACTGAAAAAAGTGACATGACCCTTTTTCACACTTATGACCATTGCAGCATCCCCACTGTCATGAGAGGCCAGGCGAGGAAAAACGCCCCTTGACGTGAGGGATGTCAAGTTGGCCACGCCCACCCAGTTGTATGACCAGCAAGCCATGCCCACCAACTAAGCCACGCCCACAGAACCAGTTGTTAAAAAAAAATTGAATCCCACCCCTGGTCATCACATGATCTTGTTAGGGATAACATGGTTACCTAACTTAGTTTGGGTAAAATAATATATATAGACTATGATTGTGTGTGTCACTTTAAATGCAGACCATGTAATTTTGGGTGCGGTTGTAAAATCACCATAAGAGGGAGCAAGAGAGCTCACTGTTTGCTGGCTTTTACTGGATTGCTGACAATGATGGATTGATGGTGATAATGCGTGTTTTCCCTGCTATTGCTGAACGAAGAAAAGAGGTTTGATTTTCTTCATATCTCTACTGCAAAAAGAGATATATTACTGGACTGATTACTTGTAAGTTTACTGACCTCTTTTTCGACACTGAACTTTGCTAATGAATAATCCCCGGACGGACTGAACTTAGTGTATGATATATGGACTGTTTGACTATGCATATAAATCTTACTGGAATAAACTATTTAACTGGCACAGTGTATGTGATTTACTGAGTGTAAACTACAATAACTGTTTATCTCACATATCTGCCTGCCTGCCTGACTACCGTTGCACGTTCTGCTAGGGTGTATATCCCTAACAGATCTATCCCAATGTTCAAAAACCAAGGGTGGCCTTCAAAGGGAGACTTCACAACCGGTTCTTATCAAATCAACAAAACTCAGCAGAAGGACACTACCTACCTCAAACTGAGATTGTTCTGCAAAGCAAATTGGATCCCGTTGATCAACTCCGGAATCTCGGGCACCATGGCCAGCACAGTCACGCCAATGAAATACTGGAAGACGAGGCGAGAACTCACGGTTAGAGATCCACCTCGACACCAGGGGATCAATCACTAGCATTCAACAAAGGGCTGGGACGAGGCGGTGGGTTTTCAGCAGACTTCAAACCACAATTTGGCAGACAGCTAACAATCGTAAGTTACTGATGGAAGAGAATATTTGTCGCTCAGGGTTGAACTGTGGCGTCTCCTTGGTGTTCTCGGAGCTTGATGGGTTTCTTGCAGACGTTTCATGACCCAACTAGGTAATATCCTCAGTGCTAGGAGGGATTGGGGTTTGTGGAGGAGGAGGATTGTGATGTCCTGGGTGCTAAGCTTGGTGGGTTTTCTTGCAGATGTTTCAATGATCAATGCTTTAGCGCTGATGATGTTACCTAGCTGGGTCATGAAATGTCTACCAGCAAACAGCTAACACAAAAAAGGTCCACAGTCGTGGTCATCATCATCATCATCGTACTCTTCCTCTCTGCAAACCCCACTCTCTTCTAGCACTGATCATGTTGCCTAGTTGGGTCATGAAACATCTACAAGAAAACCACCAGGCTACGAGACCACCAAGGACTCCATAGTCGTCGTCCTCCTCTTCCTCCTCCTCCACCATCACCACCCTGCAAATCTTATTTTCTTCTAGCACTGATAATGTTCCCTAGTTGGGTCATGAAACGTCTGCAAGAAAACCCCCAAGCTCACAGCACCCATAATCCTCCACCTCCCCCCATAAAACCCACTCCCTTGTAGCACTGATAATATTCTCTAGTTGGGTCATGAAACGTCTGCGAGAAAACAATCAAGCTCAGAGAGCACCAAGGACCCCACAGTCATCGTCTTCCTCCTCCCTGCCTCCTCCTCCTCCTCCTGTTCCTCTCCACAAACCCTATTCCCTTCTAGCACTGATGATGTTACCCAGTTGGGGCATGAAACGTCTGCAAGGAAACCACCCAGCTCAGAGAGCACCAGGGACCCCACAGCCCTTCCTTCCTTCCTTCCTTCCTTCTTCCTCTCTCCCTCTTTTTCTCCTTCCTTCCTCCCTCCTTCCCCTCCCTCCCTCCCTTCCACAAATCCCACTCCCTTCTAGCACAGATGATGTTCCCTAGTTGGGTCATGAAATGTCTGCAAGAAAACCACCAAGCTCAGAGGGCATCATGGACCCCACAGCCC